TTTTTTTTTTTTTTTTTTTTTTTTTTTAAGTACAGTTATCCAATTTTATCACCTCTGTAGAACGAGTTCAAGAATCTCGATGATTTCTAACTAAAAAATTACCAGATAATAGCCTCATTTACATGGTCGATAACGTAATTCTATTTATTTATTCGGAAACCAGGCCGCGAGCGTAATATCATTTACTCGCGTTAAAATAGATTTCTAGTAAACAAGGGCACGGTTCTGGGTTACTCTTTAGTTGATAAGGAAATCGCGGGCGTTCATCCAATTACAACGGTTAATATCGATGCAATAAAATTTTCGATCCTCGTGCAAACTCGATCGATCAATCAATTTACATTTAATAGCCAGGTGATACGATACATTTGATGACGAGCATAATTTCATGTTAGATGTCACCCACGGTAGGTAAATCTGAGAAGTGTCATTTACAGCTTGCATAGAAGTATCCGGAGGCAGATAAGGAGGTGGAGAGTCACGCAATTTGTACTCGATTTCCTTATCGGCGTCTAAACCGACCGGCTCCTTGGCTCTCTAAAACGATAAAACGATCAGAAATGACGGGTGGTCGGTTGCAAAACGCCCGCGAGAAAAGAAAATGAGATAAATGGTTCGACGACGAACCAAGTGGCAAGAATACAGTCGGGCCCCCTGAATATTATCATCCAGCTCTCAGTTAAGTAATGTTGGTTTCTGTCTGTTTTCGATTGGACCTCATCCAGATTAGCCTCCGATTCTCACTGCAAAATACGTATATAAATATATATTCTCTACAGTAAATATGATAATACAACAGGTTGTTAAAGATAGAGAAGCGAAAGAGCGAGAGATAAGTAAAGGAATTATACTTACATTGCACGATGAAAAGAGAAAACTTTACGAAATAAAAATTAAAGCGATCGATTAAAAACCAACCAGAAAATTAATTCTCATTTCCTTTGTTAATTGTAAAACGAGAATACCTATGAAGATGTCGCTACGTTTGGCGAGGTCGAGATACCAGTCGGTGATTGGCTTACGTGGAAGATATCATAAGATGAGTTATCGTGCATATGACCCCCTGGCCCCTTGATTCCGTTTACTTCGGCGCCTTCATAATTTCTTCGCGTTTTCTTCTTTCGCTTTCAATTTTCATTTTCGAACATTTCGTTCCATATCCCTGTCGATTTAGAAATATTAAATTAAATATTACTTTTAAAAAAATTTCGAGACCAATACTGTTTCTTAAATTATCAACCAATTCCATTAAACGAAGATTCTTGATTCATACGTAACTGGAATATGATACTTCAACTTGGAAGTAAGTACTTACTGTTACACAGGTCATAAAATACGTTTGGGGTTGATGGTATCGGTGCTAGGAAGGCACGTGCTATGGGTGGGAGTGGCCTAGTCCAATGGGATCCCTTTAGTAACTGGGCAGGAATGGAATCATTGTGAACACGTGCCCTGACGCCCTCTAATGCTTATCCTAGCTCGCCTATAATCGCCATGATACTTGATATCAAAGTAGTATGGCTTTCACCTTATTTCGATGATCGTATTACGATTACTCACTTAATTAATTAATTGGTTAAAAAATCCTATATATAAAAAAAAAAAAAGAAGGAACTTTCTTCGTTCGATAATGGAAAATCGAATTATTTGAAGATATAAGTAAAGGTCATGTTAGAATCGGAGTACCGGTCGACCTAATCAAAGAGAAACAATGACGACGAGGACAAAGGCGTGCGATTCGCAGCGTGATGTCACGATGTATTGTATTTCGCTTATCGACGCCGATTCCTCGCGGAACCCGCAGCATTTCAGGAATGCGAATGCCATGATTTTCAGCGCGACAACGATCACAGCAAGACAACGACCTTCGCCCCGAGGATCGCTTTAATCGATCCGCATAAACTTTCTTCCTCTTATCTTTCGTTTTGTTTTTCATCGTAGGAAGACTGAATTTTCTCTTGATCCTTGACGTTATAATATATATATATATATATATATATAAAAGAGAAAACAGATTCATAACCTAATTATCCCTCGACTTATCAAGAACTCATGAACTTGTTTTATAAATCTGCAGACATCGTTAAATCATCGTTACAAATATACCTCGACGAAGGCCAACAATTTTCGCAAGCCTGATTACGTCACAGGTTTTCACAACAGCTGAACACCGCATTTTTCTTCATATTCCATTGTGAAATATCTCGTGCGTTATGCATATGATGATCCACTTACACGACATTTATAATATCACCTTTGACACAAGTTGGGAAATTATTCGTTCAACTTTCCTTCTCTGCGTCCGATGTTTTTCGACTGTCGACGATTGTCTGTCTCGCATACAATTTGAAACAAGGGATCCCATGACGAGAGCAGATGTGGTCTCGTAGGTGTCGCGTAGCAATGGATCTCCAGTTGCAGTCAGGTGTGTTGGCAAACGCTTCGAGTTATCGCGATCTCGTCGTCCGCTTGTGTACCTTAAATCTACACGCGGGAGTCTCTATGAGCTTGTGTAGAACTTGTGTTAGGTGTTCACCGTAGGTCGATATCGTATATCGAATCTCCGGCACGTGATCTGTAAAAGATGATGTTCAATCTGAATCTTGATGATAATAACGAAATGTACAAGCTTATTTTAATTTCTACTTTCTCTTTGTTTCCCGTGTATAAATTATTTTTATGTTTTTTTTTTTTTTTATAATATTTATTTAATTTTTCTCGATACACAACGAGAATAGAATTAACAAAATGCGTTTAAACACATTTGACCAGAACGTGTAATACACACGTATGGAAGGTATTACCGCTATGGAAACGGATCATTGTGGCCCAAATGACGAAACCTCTCTGCATCGAAAATCATATATACCCTGGAGCTTTGCGGTAGTTTAGGGATATCATGTTTTCGCGTATCCTGGGAATGGATGTTCCCAGCTTCTAGTGGCCCCCCCCCCGATTGATAACATTCAGATCGAACATTGGCTGCAAGATATAGAATAAATTGAATATCCTATCATTTTGTAACTTAACAATGAAATATTGGGTTCTTGGGGGTCTTCTATTCTTGTAACCGATCCGACTGAATTTGCGAAAATTCATACTTTGTTTTTCTTTTTGTTCCAAACCTCTCTGTTGCGCAAGTGCGCCGTGCTTAACTTATCGGTGTCTAGTTACGGTTCCAGTTACATGTGCCGCGAGGCACCGGTGAATATTCGACGCCATGCACGTACGCACTCCTTTTCTGACTCATATCTCCGTGTTTTCCGCTGATTTTCTTCCACCTTTAAAACTTCTGATGGTCAATTATCCACGATTCATCCAGTATGTATGCACTTGCACGAGTAAAAACAGGATTATGAATTAAAAATTAAATTATATAATTATCCGGTGAAATCGTATCACCATTGCTATTTACT